GCCATGTCACCCTCAGGACACCTCCCTGCCTGGGCACTTTGCCAGATTCAGCAACCCAGTCCACCTCAAGTGAGAGGGAACAGAGATGAATCTTTATTTTTGCTTTCTAGGAAAGTTGTGGTCCATGCTGGCCATCTGTCAGACCAGATCCCTGTTCACCCACAAGGCAGCTCCCACTCCCAAACAGCTTGGACGAGGGACAGGAGGGACACAAAGGGGCAAAAGCACCAGCATCAGTCTCACTCCCCAGCATAGCTCCGCAGGCACCCCACACCCTGTTTCTTGGGAAACTGAGCTTAAAAACCAAACAGTGCAAACAGGCAGCAGCAGATTCACCACCAGCCCCACTCACCAGATTCAACAGCTCAAACCCCCAACACAGAGCAGCAGTTTCACACAGCCCCGTCCCTGCAGCTTGCTCCCTCCACAGGGACATTTACCTGGATGAGACATTTGATTTTTGGTCATGGTGTTTGTCAGAAAAAAACCCACACCACTCTGGCTCCACCCTCGGAGGCACCGGGAGAGCAGCAGCTCCAACATCCTCAGGCTCGGGACCACGCCGTGTCCTGGGCAGCTGCTGAAGCTCTTCCTCCACTTCAATCCCACCCACTGGCTTGAAGACAAACACAGCTACAACAGCGGAGCAGGCAAAAAGCCTGAGCCTACGGGACCCACTGAAGTTTTGGGAAGTGCAGATACGTGTACAAGTACTTCAGCAACTCCACTGCTCTTGTTAAATACTTTAATTTGCATCCCAAAGGCTGGAGTTGTTCCATTACTTACAAAGACCATGAAGAGAAGCATCACACCCCAAGACAATCCTCTAGCTCCATCGCCTATAACAGCAGTGATTTTTTTTCCTTTTTCCTCACTAGTCCACACATGCTGGGCAATATTCAGCTTTTAACGATGCTTTGAATAAGTGTCCTGCACTTTAACTGCAGAGATAAAATCCTGAGGAGGACTGTGGTCTAAAGTCTGACAGACCCTGTAGAACTGTGGCAAAACCTGTGCCACAGAGGGATCTTAGCTTCTCCTTTTAAGAGGAGCAGACCACAGTTCCTTTAAACATTGTTTTCTTTTCCATTCTGGCTAGGAAAAGGTATTTCACAGTCATAGGAGCAATGAGCATCAAGGACAGGGGTTACGACAGTCATCTAAGGAGGAGCAGCAGCCTCTACAACCTACCAGCAGTAAGGGGCTGCTTCTCATCAGCTTATTGCAGTTTTAAAATGCAGTATTACTCAAATTAAGAGGATCATGTCAAATAAACAGTCCACAGAACAAAGCCCATAAGGAGTCAGGTCCAATACTAGAACTACTAATACAGGACTTCCATGTGAGTAGACTTTGGGTGTACTTGGCACAGGGAAGCCAGAAACAGACTGTGCAGACCTTAAGCTCCTGGTTGCACCCGTAGCCCCCTGAGGAACCAGCTGATGCCTCTGTCAGTGCTTTGGCACTCACAAATAAATGTGTCCAGCAAGTTTTGCTGCCTGAGCAACATCTTGGGACATCTCCATGTCCCACCACCTCCACAGATGATCCATAAAGGAGCCAGCATGAGTCAGACCACTCATATTAGTCTCTTCTGCAGGATCAAGGTTTTACTCCTCCTTGACAAGGAAGTTTGAGGGCTGTGGTGTGGGGAGGCTCCACCTGGGGAGGAGTCACTGCCTTGGAGGGGTGAGACTCACCAATTTAAGATCAGCTGAGGCACCAAACCCATGCAACATCCCCATCCTACAACAAAACCACAACCTCTCTCTACAAATAACTGATGAGTTGGAGCAATCTTCAAGGCCAGTACATTGCTGGAACCCTTCAGCACAGGTGGAAAAGGGTGTTTTACGCCAAGATTTACTGCCCCTGACTCTTTTCTAACCATACAGGACCTGAGGTGCTACAGTGATCCTGTCATGCTACTGAGCACACCCAGCTCCTCCAGCTCAGTCTGACCCCTGGAGCCACAGGATGAGTGACCCAGCACTACTACAGAAAAAAATGCTTCCCTGCTGCACTGCCCAGCACATCTCTCAAAAAAAGCACTTGGTAATAACATAGCCACGTGGCTGATCCAACCACCTTCCCAGGACAAAGCTACAGAGACTCCAGCTTTGAAGCAATCACACAAAACCTGGTGGACCCCAGGACTAGGACACCCACATCAGCATCAGGAGCCCAGTCCCAGCACAGCTCAGGTGGAACCACCCCAGGGACTGCTTTCCAGTTCTGCCCTTAAAACAGCACAACCCCATACAAACCTTAAAAAAACAAAGAGAGCATAGCACTCACCTCAGGTGTTAGAAGACCATGACTGTTCCAGGCAGGAGAAGGAACCATGTTCAGAAGAGCTCAGAAGCTTGTGGCCATCTTGTTTTTATAGAGGCAGGGGCAGATGAGCAACCACCAGCAGCTGTGGCTGTGAGCACAAGAGACCCGTTGGGTCATTAGCAAAACCTAACAATGCCCAGCTGCTCCTACAAGCCCTGGCAGGGAAATAATTGTTCTTTCCCTGATATAAGTCCCCTCCATGCACAGCCACCCCAAGGGCTGCTCCAAGTACTAACATAGCCATCAAACAGCCCCCAGGTTTAACTCTAGTGTGTGGGATCACATGGGGAAGGTTTCAGCCGAGTCTTGTGAAGGTCCAGCATGAAGTTCAATAGCTTTGAAGTCCTAAAGCTTCTTTAAAGGATCTTAAGTTTGAATGATTACAATAAGGTATTTAAGGGAAAAAATGGGATAGAAAAGAGTACTTGATGTCTTATTTCATTGCCCTACCATAAAATCCTTTTTTATTCCCTTTAAAGCCTTGCTGTCAACTGAAATAAAACTCCAGATTTATTCCTGGGGAAGTGCATGAGTAATAAAAAAAAATTAAGCACAATCAGTGGATTGCACAAGAGAAACCCCTAAGTTAACCCCCAAATTTCAACCCACAAGAATCTTGTCACTGATGCAACCCTGGGACAGAGCTGGAAGGCCCCTGACCAGCCTGGCCACACTGCAGATGCAAAGGGTTAAGTCAGTGAAAATCAACAGCACACCACAGCTTCCATGGGCACTGGGACAAGGTCCTTTTGTGGGTGGTATAAAAGCAAACAATAATGTCCATTCTTGGTGCTATTTTGTCCAAAATGTGGAAGAATCCAGTGGAAAATGGACAGCACTGCTGCATCTGTGTGTGCATGCAAGGAGGAGGACAGGGAGGAAGGCAGCAGCCAGTTTGGGATACAAGTGCAAAAAAACCCTCTGGGTGGTGGTGGGAAATGCCAGGAAAGAGGAGAAAAGGGAACAGGGAGAAGCAACTCAATTTTTGGCTGGTTCTTCCCAGTTAAAATGAGAACAGTATTAACAAAAATCTCTTTAAAAAAACCCGAAACATAAAAATGGCCTCTTGACCGACTGCATGGAAGTGATACAGTGAGTGATGCAGGCAGTATGGCAGAACACACCAAATCTAAGCCAAAGGGGATTAAAAAAACCTGCAAAGCTCTTGAAAGCTGGCTTTAAACGATAGTGACATGTTTTGACACCATTCCCTGACAACAATGGCTGTAACACAAACAAAATTTAATGATGTCAAGTATTAATACCGATGCTGCATAAACTCAACCAATGTGGTCCCAATTAAATATCAAGTATGGTTATAATTTGAAAAATGACTGCGGAAATGTCATTGCAACATTCCCTGCTCGTGTCTCTCCTCAACGTCCAGCCCGGGTCTGCACATTTCCCTGGCGGGACGCAGTCCCCTTACATAGTGGGATCCGGTCCCCACCTTCCCCATCCTTGCTTGTGGCTGCTGCAGAAACACCAAGTCCAGTTGCCAAAATGCCTGACCTTGACATGTGTCAGGAGGGTTTTTTAATAGTAAGTTTATGTCCTGTTTTACTGAGTTTCGAGCCACTGAGGAGGTCTCATTGCACGTTTTTCTCTGCAAGTATCAGGGCTACAAAAACTTCCTCTGTAATACTGAAAGCTGAGGTGCTTCTGCAGTCACTGGACTCTGGAAGCTGGGACTTCATGAAAATCAAATGTACAGGGATTTGTAAGACAACTCTAAGTCTTGGCAACACTAGTCACTGGCAATAAATAACTTCACTAACCAAGTGAAGCCAGAAAACATCCGACCTGCCCCTTATGCAAGCGCATGGGTGCTAGAGCGCTGACAGCAACGAAGCTCACGCCGAAGTCAGCAAAGTGCCTGATTTTATCCAGATTTCCAGAGAGAGTAAATCAGCCGAGATAAGCTCATTTGACCAGGACTCCTGGCCACAACTGCTCCTCAGAGCAAACATATTCTTTCAAAAGATCTCCCAACTTCTGTATCGGTTTATTGCCCAACTGGGAGATCTGCAGGACAAACCTGCACACAGCTCATCCGTCTCACCTCTGCCTTATTTCAAGTTACTGGCGAGGTTCCCGAAATTCAGGCCATGCTACAGTGTCTCCAACTGAGGATCCACCCAACCATGAGTTGTCCAAACCCACCACTTGTTTCACAACCATCAGATAGGTCTGTGAGATACCAGACTCAGAGACAACCCCTGTGCAAAGCTGATAATGCAAACTGGTCCTACTGGGCAGCTTTTAGGGCCACGGTCTGTTCTGCTCTTCCCACCAGCACTGATTTGTACTGATAACCATTAATTTGCAGCAACATGAACATGCACGCTCATCTTTACCATGTCCCCATCATGTTTTGTGTTATCAGAGAGATCCCAGAGCCCTGAGCAAGAACAGCTACGTGAGGCTTTCCCCTCACCTCCTCCATTTGCTCCCTGGCTCTCAAAGTGTCCTCATTTACCCTCCTCTTGGAGACAACTGCAGCCTTCCAGCAACTCATTTATTGTTTTTCTAAGGGTCCTGGCTGAGATGGGAGACAGCAGTTGACCCTCTGGAAACTCCCCCCTGACTGCAGAGCACCTGAGCAGACACTGCTGTGGACTTCAGTCAGGGGGGGAAAAAAAAAGACAATTAAACCCCCCCCCTATAATGCGAATACTTTATTATCAATGAGTGACTGGTATTAGCTTTTTGTCTGGGTATTAATAATATTTCAAAAAACCATACATCAAAATTAGGGCTTTCTCCTATTTTTGCTGTATAATTTTTCTTTTTTAAAAAATCTGTATTGAAAGAATTATATAAGCCAAAGTGCATTTTCTGTTTTTTGTCCATATACACATTGCACCATACATAAATAATTACATTGTAAAAATGACTCCATAATTACAAGTATAATATATATTTTCATATAATATATAAAACTTTATATTAAATCTAGGTAGATGATATTTGGGATAGTCTGTGTCTTTTTTTTCTTTTTCCTTTTGTCAGAGGCCGACCGTTACCGATTGTTACTGAGTAAAATCTCCAGCCAACAAGGACATGACGTGATAAACTGTCTTGAATAACACGGCCCCCAGCCTTTGGCGAAGCTAATCCGCACGCTGTTTGGGTCGTAGGGCCCATCTGCGTAATCCAGATCGGCTGTGTGCTGCAAGAGGCAGGATTTCTCGTAGTCAAACACCTTGATGGAATAGCCTGGCATCACCTTGCGCACTATCAAAGTCCTACAGTTGGGGATGTCCAGTGTTGGGGAGTTGACGAAGATGGGATGCTCGCTGCGGTTGTAAGCCCACACACCGTCCGGTTCTTTGCTAAGTAAAATCCCGTAACCGATTTTACTTCGAGTCCTTCTCACAGTCTCGCTCCTGTTTTCCAGGTTTAGCTGTCCGAGGCAGAAGCCGTTTCCTTGAGGTAGGTCATAAAATATACTGACAGACTGTTCATACACTGTGTAGAGGCGGCCGACGCGCGTCCGGTGCTCCCAATAGGCCACGTTGCACCAATGGCTCCTCTTCATGGCATCGGGCGACGTACTGGCATCTGTGGGGGAAAGCAGAGAAGAGTCAGGGTTTTTTGCTGTGACCACCTGGGAAATGACAGATATGGAGGATAAACAAATGGCTCTTCCCACCCATCAGCTTTGCTCACATGGGAACCGAACTTGTGTTCAACCCAAAGCCCATCTTCAATTATGTCAAATGCCACCATCAAAGAAGGCCACCCACCAGCTTCCATGTTGCTGGTGCTCAACGCGTCTTTCTCTCTCTAATTTAATGTTCAATCCTGTGTCCAGCAGTCAGAACCTTAAGTACTCAAGATATGTGCATCTCTACCACAGATAGTGTACCACTGCAACTCAGCCACTTCCAAGCTTGGAGGGTCCCAAGTCCCTCCAACACCACTGTGGTGGTGTACCCCCCTATTCAAAGGCCAACGTGTTGAGCTCAAACACACGGGATGTCCATGAAGTGCTTGCGTGACTGACCCGACAGTTGTCTCTGCTCTGTAATATTCTTTGACAGCGATGCTGATGTTCCCACGGGGAACATGAAATCTGAGGAGGCATTTCATGCCAAGGGGGAGTAGCTGCTATGAACTATACATGTCCTCCTACAAAGTCACTGGAACTCTCTCCAGAACAATGTCTCTTCTTTCTAGGAATTACATTCAAGGAAGATGGGAGGGACGCAGACTGCCAGAAAGCTGTTTAATTTATGATGCCTCCAGAATTTATGATGCCTCCAGAATTTATGATGCCTCCAGAAGGAAGATGGGAACTCTCAGCCCTAAAAGAGCCCCGAAGATGGAGAATTAACCTCTTGCTCAACATCTTTCTTGCTCCTACCACACCAGTTAACAAGAAACCACCCTGGGATTTCACGCAAGGAGCTCTGCTTCGAGCCAGCCCTACTACATGCCTGGCATTAAGCTCCCTGACAATATATCATGCGCCTGCGGCCTGCTGACCCCTCTGCCTTCGTGCCATCATGTCCGATTAACTCGCACGCGGGGTGATGCCATTATTTTGCTTCAGAGACTGTATTGACACACCGGATTTCAAGCGCAGCCCTACAGCCCTGTTTCTTTTCAGGCTCAAATTACCCCAGAGGGGAAGGGGCTCTCCTCCCCATTAACGATCTTTGAATTAAGCTGCTTTGTTAGAGTTGAAGTTGAGTTGTAACTATACAAGTTTAAGGGGAGGGAGACAGGGGGAAGGGGGGTAATTGGGCAAGTGGGGAGGCAGCGGGACCAGCAGGATGCCCTTTGCTGTGGGCAATACTCACCATCTTGCATAGACCCCTTCACCCATCAAAGGTCTAAACCACCCCAAAAATGCCAGATTGGTCCCTTTTTCACCACTCATATGTTTAAATGATTTTCTAGGACCCAGCACAGCCACCAACAGCTTTTTTGGTTTGATGTGCATTTTATCCAGAACTGCGAAGGAAACCACACCACACCTATCAGACACTTCAACCTCACTGAGAAAAGCAACACCACTTCCCTGCATTTATGGCAATCCTCCATGGGAGAGCAAGGCAACAGCTTTGTGCCCCCTAACACTGGAGGTGATATCCTGGGCCTCCTAAAGGCATGGGGAAAGTTCTGCTGAACACAACTGGGTGAGATGTGCCCTTTAAATTCAGAGTTAGTGGCTCCGCACAGCAGGAAAATGGGTGAAGACCCTTGGTCAGAGCAACGGCAGCATCCTGGAGCTCTGTGAGCCAAACTTAGGTTTCTTTGCCCCAAGGCAAATAAACCTGTCTGTCCCCCAGCTACAGGCCTTTAGCACGGTGGGACACTTCACCATGCCCCAGTGGCACCAATGGGGTCTTTGTGTCTCCGTGCTTCTGAGCCATCCTCTAATGGAAACCACTCAGTCACTCTCTAATAAGCTCATCCTAATGTTGCACTCTGCTAACGACAAAAATCAGAAAAAACAAAGGGTCTTCCCCATTCTTAATGTATGGCAAATAACTGTATTATTTCCTTTGCTATCTCAAATGACCCTCCTGAGTCTGGATTGTCAGGAGTTAAATTAACAACCCAGCTTGCTCCAGAAGGGCAATGACTTTATCGGGAAGTGCATGACAGCTATGTTGTACCCAAGCACATCATTAAATACTGACAACTGGACTTGACTCTTCCTGAAGTATCTCATGATGCTCTGCAAACCACCAGCCGTGTGAACATGAAGTTTTAGGAAAGGAAGAGAAGATTCAAATGTAATTCTGGGTTAGAAACACCGCCAGCACCCTAGTGCCAATACGATGCACTCATCTCCACCAAGAACAGAAACTTTGATGAAATAACTTTCCTTGGTCTACCACCATGCAGATGCTCTTTAAAATGCACTATGGCAAATAGTTCTAGATTTTCTTTTAAGAAGTGCAACAAGAGGTAGTTCATAAATGACACAACACCTGCAGGTACATCTTCCACAGTGTCCAGTTTTCACAGTGATCTTTCCTATGGGACATGAGACAGCTGAGATGTCCCCAGTGCCTTTCCAAAACTCTTCTCAAGTACTAAATTTTGCTGTTGTCCCACTCGAGTGATGCTGGAGGGCTACAGACAAGCTCAGAGCTTTTCATCTGCCAGACCCAGAGGCTGGTAGCAATTACTGAGCTCTGCATCTGTTTAACCTCCCAACCTCCACAAAGCCCTGCATGCCCATTAGGTAAGTTGGTTTTGTTATTACATTTTTTAGAAACTACCACTCAGCCCCTGAATTTCCCTTACAGACTAAGAATGAGACAACTTCGAAACTCAAGTTTCCTCATCAGCTGAATTAATTAGGGGAACAGTCAGCAATAAATATTTATATAGGTGTTTCCCATAGTTTATTGCAAACTAACATACCTAGTGGGGAAAGCAAAGCAGGGAAAAAACAGTGTCTGTTCTACAAGAACATCTCAATGTAGGTACCACCACCCCTGGTGCCATCTCTGCTTTCCAGAACTGGCAAATATTTTAGCAAAATCATAAATCTACACACATGCTGAAAACAGGGGGAGGTTTTATGACACCTCCTGCTTTCACGCATCTGAAACGATAGCCTTACTAAAATCACTTCCACACAATTTATGGCATAAGCTTCAGTCCATCCATACACTCACATCTCAGGGAGTGAATCTCTCCCTGTCAATGTGCTTCTCATCTCTGTCACCCCATGACAGCTCCTGCCTGGTAGTGACAGCTCTGCCAGCTCAAAGCACTCCTGGAGACGTCCTGTGCTTCTTCAAATGGGCAAGGACCTGAGTTTTAGGTAACTGCACATCAAGCAGCTAGAAGCTTCCTACCCACCCCATTTTCCCTGGCTGGGGGTGAAGAAAGGCTTTAAAAAACAGGCACCAGCTGCAAAAGCAACCTGCCCATGGCCCACAGGCAATTAAAACACCCGGAAAGGAGACAGTTAAAAAGGCTCATCTAAAAAGCCTCTGCCTCTGGAAAGCTTTTGGCAGGGTTCCTCTTCTCCCCCAGCCCCCTCCATCGCTGCCCTTGCTGCCTGCCCCGCTCCCTGTGCTGCGGTGGGTTCCTTTGCCTTCTTTTATCTCCCAGGGCACTCAACCAAATCCCGAAAAGATGAACTCATCTCGCAGCCCTGACATAAAGCAAGCACTTTAGCAAGCCCCTAATACAAGGGGGCCTGCGCTGTGTCTTATCCCCTGCCAAGTATTAGTTTCGCCTCCAGCTATTAGCCACTACCACTCAGCAGACAGCAGGGGCGGCCGGCAGAAAGGCATGTCCTCTGCCTTTTAAATAAATATTCCATTTTTTCCTCCTCTTTTTCCACGCTGCCCTTTACGCACAGACAAGAAAATCAGCTTTTTTTTTTTTTCTTTTCCTTTCTGCTGGAACAGAGGCAGGCTTGTTTGCTTTCTTTTTGAAGAAAGAAAAATATTTTAGTCCTGCAGTGCCTCCCTCGATGGTATATGACGCATTTTTAACAACTATCATTGTAGGCAGCTACAACTTCTAACAGCTACATTTAGGCTGGCGTCAGGGCTATCTCTTCCATCAAAGCCACCTTTATCGATCAGATGGACAGGCTGAAACTCTGGCTCTTGTTTACTCGTTCCTCTGAGTCGCCGTTTCCTCCGCTGCAGCAACGCCTCGCAGCAGACACATCCAAAAGGAAATTCAAACAATTTAAGATAAAAAAACAAGATAGGAAGCAAGACAGAGAATCAAAACCAGAACTTAATGGGAAAAGAGTCTTGCACGGCTCACGCAAAAGAAATCTAGGTACAGGAATAAAAACCTCACAGCATTAGCAGCACTGCTGCTTTCACTCCCTGCAGAGTGTGGAGGTAAAGAAAATAACTTGAAGTTTTAGATTATTTGTGATTTGACAGTGCTTTATGCCAGTAAAGTTCAAAGCAGTGCATTAAAAGAGAACAGAAAGATGCTTTTTTTCCAAAACAAAATGCTGCACAGTCCCACTGCTTGATGCTGCACTTAAAAGCAGGATGGAAAACATGGGCAGATCACAAAACATATGAAGTATCTCCGATTCATGCTTTGGCTCTTCCAAAGCCACCAAACCTCTTCTCAGCAGGTCAAATGGCCCCCACAATACATGGCTGCAAGTAAGATCTTGCTGCGTAAGGAAATGGGGGTGGGAAGGGAAGTTTGCTGCAGTGCTTTGAGGAACATTTCCATTTTTGCATGGACTCCTAAGGAAACAGTCACAAATGACACCATGTTTCCAAACAGACCCCCTGAAAGCAATGAGTGATGCCAGCCCCCACTTCCCCACCTAACCCCAAACCACGCTCCTGGCTTTTCAAAACACATTTAAGAGGTGCCCACAGCGAAGATGCTGCATGTAAAAAATAAAAATAAATAATCACTGCACTCTCCAAATGTGACAGGGACTCCAATGCCCATCTGGGCACCTGAAGAGATGAGGTGGGATAGCCAAAACTGTCCTCACGACTTAGCCCACTCGTTCTCATGTCCCACCCTCCCATACTCCTGCGTCTCAGGGCAGCCTAATGCTCCTCTGGCCACGGAGCTCAGTTACATCCCTTCTC